TCCCGGGAATGGACCAGCCTCAGCTTCTCTGGGCAACCTGTGCCAGGCCAGAGCCTCCCTCAGAGGGAACATTTCCTCCCTAATATCCAATCTAAACCTGTCCTCCTTCAGCTTGAGTTCATTCCCTGTGTCATGTCACTCCATGTCCTTGTGAGAAATGAAATATGAGCAGTAAAGCTCCAGCTGGTTTCCATCTCCACACAGAGCAGAGGGGTGTTCACTCGTGGCAAAGCTGCAATACAGTATCTAAACAGGCTCCTAATGTCTTACATTTCCTCCCTAATATCCAATCTAAACCTGTCCTCCTTCAGCTTGAGTTCATTCCCTGTGTCATGTCACTCCATGTCCTTGTGAGAAATGAAATATGAGCAGTAAAGCTCCAGCTGGTTTCCATCTCCACACAGAGCAGAGGGGTGTTCACTCGTGGCAAAGCTGCAATACAGTATCTAAACAGGCTCCTAATGTCTTATCAGAACCACCTCCTTGTCTTTGTTTTTTACTCCCAGAGAGATCCCAGTGTACAAGGAAGGAGCCAACAATGGGGGATACCCTGCCCCACCCACCCAAACCCCAATCAACAGCAACCACATGGAAAAGAGGGAGACACGAGAGAATGGCACTGGCATTTCTGGGAGCCCTTTTTAGCTCTGGCAGGAAGGTCAGAGCCAGCACAGACACTCCCAACACAATGAGGTGTCCAAGCTAAATATAACCCCATGGAGGGCACGAGTACAGGAGTTTGTTTTCACAGGGAGCCAACAGACCATCAACATTGTGCCACATCCCTCCTCAGAATAATTCACAGCTTTATCATTCCTGACAGTCTTTGTGTTTCAGCAGAGAGGCAGAGCCCAGGCTTGTCCCCATCTGCCAGGCAAAGTCAGTGGAAATGATTAACTGAGGAGGAGAAATACCCAAACTTTTCCATGTTCATTATGCAATTCTAGGAAAATCTGTGATGTTCCTCTCCCATTGGGGAGCTCTTATCTGACTTACACACACACACACACTGCCCTTAGTGCTACATGAACTGCTATAAACACCACAGTGCTCCACTCCCAAGTCCTTTCCCAATATGCCACTGGGCAAAAAAGTACTTTTCCTTAAACTCAGGTCACACGTTGAGGTTTCTACACTTTTCTCACAGACACCAAGATTTGGTTGAGAAACTGTTTTTGCATTACTCAGGAAAAATAAGAAGAGGTGACATTTACCCAGCAGAGCTAACTCAGTTCTGGTTCTCAGAACTGCAAAGACTTCTAGGGGAAAGGGAACTCTTGTGGAAGAAAAAACCTGAGGTGTTAAAAGCAAGGGAAGGAGAATGTGCAAGAACTAAATTACCAAGTGAGATGGCTTCAGCCTCAAGGAAGGGAAGGGAAA